ATCACAAACATCAAATTTTTATCTGCCAAAAGCTCATCTACTTGATTAGAAGACAAAAACATCAGCTCTTCACTATCACCAAACTTGGGGAATCATACCGTCTTATTGTAACAGTTGATATGAACATAATTGAATTCCAACCAGTTCATTCCAAGAATAATATCAATTCAGTGTAAGGGTAGACACACCAAATCCATCATAAAATTCTTGCCATAGATAGATAAAGGACACTTCAAACAAACTAGATTAGTAGTAACGAAACCTTTAGCCAGAAGCGCCACTACCATTCCCCCATTCATATTAGACAATTTTAATCCAACATAGTAGCACAGTCAATAGAAATAAATGAATGAGTAGCACCAATATATATAATATAAATTAACGCAATATTGTTAATAAAACAAGTACCCCTGATTAGGTTGTCTTTCTTGTCAACCTCAACACCATTCAAAGAAAACACTCTACCACTAGTCAGATCTGACACTGGATACTAATGTGACCTTGCTCACCATAATTGAAACAAGTCAGACCTTCATTATTGCACTCAGTATTCCGATGACCAACCTTGCCACACTTGTAACATATTAGCACTTTATTGGTACAAGCATTAGCATAGTGGCCTGCTTCGCCACACTGATAGCACTTCATAGAAACGGGATCCCCTCCCACACTTGGCTTCTTATCATCATAAGCTCTTTTCTTCCTTTTATCGGTTGGAGTAGCATACGGCTTACCATAATATTGAATCTTCCCTTTCTTCTCATTATAATTCTTATAATAATAAGCTCTGGCCCTACTATCTTAATAAAAAATCATGCACTTATTCACCATCTCAGGAAACTGACGAATCTACAGATACCCAATACCCTGCTTGATCTATGGGCGTAATACATTCTCAAATTTAATGCACTTCGACACCTCAGCTGTGGGAATGTTATAGTGTAGACAGACTAACATTAGAAACATCAACACATCGACAATATTCATATACTAATCGATTAACAAGGAATAAACATCATATAAATCCTGGCCGAATGAACTGACCTACTCTGATACCACTAATGTAACACCCTTCTAAACCCAAACGGAATATTCATAATTATTTAAAATAATATCAGAGTAATACAACAAAAGGGCGTCATATTTTATTCGTGAAATAATCATAGGTTATAATCTTACTCTGTAAGACGGGTTTTCGAAATTATTCATGACATATGCATTATAAATGTTTCACATACTTGCAGTGGAATCATAGTTCAAACAAGTTTCATTAAAAACACTTCATAGTGCCCCATGATTCATGGTTCACAATTCAACATAACTTAAACTCCATGGAAGAAATTTAAATGTAATAAAAAAATAAGGACAAAATAGTTTTCAAAACAAAGCGTTCCCATCCCCGATGTTACATATCAGAGAAAGATCTTCTAGACTCAACGGAAATAAATCACACTTCAAAGCTATTCTTCCAAGCCTTTAAGGACTACTCTTGATTACCTGCACGCTACCCACGTAGAGGCAACATTCAAGCAGAAAGGGTGAGTTTATCACAATCATTATATAAGATGTAAGTAATAGACATAGCAGAGTAAGCCAAAAGTATCATGATAATCAATTCATCAATATCATCTTCCAAGTTCAACAACATAACACAATGTCACCAAAATCAAGAACCATACAATGCCACATAAGATGTAGTGCAAGGACAAGTCTCATGCATGTGGTACCAAATCACTTGACGAACACTAGGCCATCACCCTCCAAAGACCCCAATCATAGGATCAATTCTCTCTTGGAACTAGAACAAAATCATAGACATCCCAAATCCATACAATAGAATTGAGACCAAATCACTGGACCAACATCCTAACTCATCAAAATGGACCAAATATGTCCAATGAATGCATGATGCCTAACCACAACATAAACGATCATAACCAGTCATACACATCATCATTCATGTATCAATAAAAATCATACATAAAACATCATTATATATACTCATATAATCAAAACATCACCATAACATCATTATATCATCATAGTAATAACATATAATAATAATCAAACGAGACATCATTGCGATTCAACACGGGAAACCTATTCCTATACTATCTTAGGTCTTGTAAAAATATTCCCAATTCTCAATTTTATCTCACCAAAGTAAGGTTTACTACGTTAGCTACACACTGCTTTGAACGACACATCAATCATACTCTTGAAACTCAAGTTATGGCATTTTATTGAAAATTAGACATCCATTCAATTGTGTCACCCATCTCCTGGTGCCACCTTAGCATCTCCCGGTGATGTGTCTCTTTTTGTGTCACCTTGGTGTCGCCTGATGCTGCATCGTAGATAACACTTCTGCTCTTGCGATTTTCCACCATTGCAGGCTTTCCGGAAGTCCGAATTCGATTCCGTAAAAAGTCCCGGTTTCAGAATTCGAAATACTATGATTATACAACATTCTTAACATCCTATAATACTTATTTAAAGGTACTAACATCACACATGAATTAAGGATTCATTCATTCATTAATTCAACACATAGTTTTTCCCTAATTTCATCAATCTTCATCCCAAAATCATCACACAAAGGAAATCTTATAATTATATAGACCTTAGATCAAACATAAAAATATGATAAAACCCCTTACCTTATTATTTCGAGTGATTGATTCTATTCTCCGTGCCTCTTGCGGTGATCTTTTCCAACTTTTGTGCTCTAGAATCTTCTCTTGCTCTTTTTCTAATATCTCGATCGTACATAATGAATCGTATAACTCTCTCTTTTTCTATATTATCACAAATGACCCCTAATATTTTCCTCAATTGCGCTTACTTAGCCAACCCCAAATTACTATCATGTTCTCACTCTTTCTTCTAATTATCAATACACCACTCTAATTAAAATAACCATTTAAATAATTATTCCTATTATTATATTCTCAATAATAATTCAAGTAATTATTAATTAATTATTTAATTATTATAATACTCCTATTCACCATAATTCACATCATGTTGCTCCATGTCATAAACAATAACATACCAACACACATCATACACAATCATATAAAACATCATTATTCATCTTTAATTCACAAATACATCTAATAATTTATTAAAAAGAAATTCTAAAAGTTGGGGTGTTATAATTTCTGGCGGGTTGTTGTCTAGAGAGAGGTCAGAGCCTATCTCTCTAGAAATTTGTATGGTGAAGAGATAAGGCATAGAGAGAGAGAGAGAGAGACGGGAACGAAAAAATGAAGGAAATGGAACAAAGTTGAATATATATAATGGTCTCTGTTACCCCATGCACGCACCTTATCATACACCCTCTGTCAACATCACATCTCGACCCTTTGTTCTGTATACTCTTGAACAATTCCCTAGAGTCAACCTCTAGAGATCAAGATTGGATGCTTCTGATCTCGTTAGCCCATCATAATACCTACGCCTCCCCACACTCTGCTTAAACGGACTTAAAGGTTATTTGGGCCAATCCCAATCCTGTTGGCACTCCCCAAATTACTCATTTAACTATAACATGCACCTCCATTGACTAGTGGGCTCTGATCTGAACCTTGGGCTTGACATTTACTTTCAGCACCCTGTTACCACCTTAACCATAATTACACCCCCTGCGTTTTTAAATAAAATTAATTAATTTATACAATTTCATTCATTTATTTAGTTTCTATTATTTTTGCATAATTATTTTTTTTATACTTAATATATTTTGTTAATAAACTATAATAATATTAATTAAATTTTTTAATAATAACCCCTTTTTAACTATTTCAATTGCATTAAAAAAAATTTCATGCATTAAAAACTATTTTTTCTCATATTGCATAATATATTCGAAAACATCTAACCAATCATACATGAACCTTTCTTATTAACCTAAATTCAAACTTCTATATATACTTTCAAAAAGGATTAAGGAAATTTCTTCTATATACTGCGAACTTCGTCTACAACTATGCAATTTATAAACTGGACTTGATTTAAGGAGAATTCGAGACATTTCCATAAGCCATGAAAACACTAACTAAATAACTACGAATCACGAATTAGAACTCTGATTCCTTATAAGAGGATATGTAGGCATACGACTTAAAATCTTGGTGAGTTCTCCTAATTAAAATTAAAACCCTATGCCTAAATCATAAACCTAAATCCTAGTATCCTTATGAACAAGGTAGATGAGGGGTGTGTAACACATTTTCTTCGTCTAAAACGAGTCAACAATTTAGAATCTCTGATCAAATTAGAGTTATCCGTTATATTCCATTCCCTCGGATAAAAAATTAATGGTGACGACTCTATATTTTTAACCGATTATTACATGGCGCGGTTGCGAGAACAAAAAGACTATTTATTGGGTTAACTGGAAAGCGGTTTGCTAGTCTAAAGATCAAGGAGGCCTCAACATTAAAGACGTAGGAGTTCTAAAAAAGGCTCTCATTAGTAAGTGGAAATGAAGGATATTATCAGAGCCTAATGCAGTGTGGAGTAAACTGCTCAGAATTACCTAAAAGATTCCAAAAGTCAAAGTGTTCGTTGGAAATAGTAAAGTGCTGGCTCTTCTGGTTTTGCTGGTAGGGTTATGTGCAGGGTTAATGATGGCCAACAGACAACTTTTTGCCATTCTTTATGGCTGGGTAATCAATCTTTGAGGATTGCGTTTCCAGAAATTTACGAATCTGTAGTCAACAAGGATTTAAGTGTGGCAGATGCAATCTCTTGGGTCGGTTCATCTTGGCCTTGGAAATTGAAGGATTTAGTGTTAGTTTCATCTACAGCAATCTGAGTTCGGGTAGGAGGGGGTTTCATGTGGACCACCGCCTCGGTTGGTCCAGTATATAATACTTACCCTTTTGTGAAGTAAATAGACTCTATATATCTTCAATGTCAACTTTGTAACAAAACCAACACTATAAATAGCTAACAACCTCTTTAATCTATTATCACACATCCAATTTATCAAGATGAAGATGATTTGCATTTTTATTTTTATTTTTTATCTTCTCTCATATACCTCCCATGCTGTATCTACCAATGATTTCTGTGTAGCCGACTTTATGTTTCCAAATACTCCTTCAGGTTATCCATGTATGTCAGAAACAAATGTAACTGCAGATCATTTTGCATCCTCTACTCTTGTAGCTGGGGACACAAATAACTTTTTTAATCTTGGATTCACCACTGCATTTCTCAAGGATATACCAGGTCTCAACGGACTCGGCATCTCTGCAGGAAGAATAGATTTTGATATAAATGGAACGCTTCCAATGCATATTCATCCTGATGCATCTGAATTAATAATCGTTGCTCAAGGTCAAATTACTGCTGGATTTATGACACCTACAAACCTTTATGAGAAAAATCTAAAAGCTGGTGATGTTTTCGTTTTTCCAACAGGACTATTGCATTATCAAGTTAATACTGCTCCTACAAAAGCTATTGTTTATGCTGTTTATGGTAGCGAAAATCCTAGCATCCAATTTCTCGTTACTTTATTATTTAGAAATAATTTACCAACTCCAATAATTGAAAAGACTACTCTCCTTGATGCTTCACAAATTAAGAAGCTTAAGGCTCAGCTTGGTGGCAGTGGCTAGAATTGCTAGCTTATGATTCTAATTTTATGTTTGTTTTTATTTAAGTTAATAATGTATGAAATAAAACTTACTATGTGTGTTTAGTTTTTATGTCAATTTTCATTTTAATAATGTACGAAATAAAACTTATGTGTGTTTAGTTTTTATGTCAATTTTCATATTAATAATGTAAGAGGATGTGTGGTTCTTAGTAATTATACAATCTCAATGTTTTTTATTTTAATTTTTAACAGCAATTTGTTATATAATTTTAATATATTTCTCACTAATTTAACAAACATTAAAAATAGATGAAAGAAAGTAATAATTTTATAAAATTAATCTTGTTAAATTTTTTCTTCCTATTATCATAATGATACAACATTTTTCAATTTAAGCTACATTACACTTGCTTGCTAGCAGATAAAAAACTACGACTTAAAATGTGAATAAACCACGAATTTAATTTAAAAATGTTGCTTAAAATATGTATATATACATACTATATGAGTTTCAAAAAAACAAAAAAAAAAACTCGTCTTATTACATTATAGGAAATGCTTTAAAATGCATACATTTTTTAATCACAATAAAATATGCACTTTATTTTGCCTAAAATCTTCTTAATGTTGCCTTAAATCATAACGAAATAATTAATAAAAAGGATAAAAATTGAGCGTTAAATTTTAGAGGTTTATTTTATGTTTTAAATAAAAAGATATATTAATTTTTATATTTTAATTCAAAAATAGAAGGCGTTGCTTTCACTTTTCTCTGAAAAACGGTAATCCTTCGTTTCAAATTGCTCCATTGATACAACAGTCAAACACTCAGAGTTTCGTAGCTTCATCTTCAGGCTAAAGCTCACTCACGTCTTCATCCTCCTTCCATATCTCATGGTCTACCGTCCCCTGTCATCTTTATTTCTATTGCATCTTTTCACCTTTTATCTCATTTCACTATTATAAATATTACATTTTATGATAAAATTTTCATCTCAGCTATTGAAAAACTGAGGTCAAATGATAGGGAACGCGTCATTTCATGACAAAATTTAATCTTATCTTTCAATTTTTCCTAAACCGACTTAAAAAGTTGTTCACAGTCTGAGTTTCGATTCTCAGCTTTTACAATTTTATGTTTATTTTAGAAACAAAAAAGCGTGTTTATTTTTTATAGATTTTACATCAAATATGTTTCCTCGATCTTTTAGAAAATCAAATTAATAACTCTAATTTTTTTATTCATTTAGAATAAAAAAGGCGCCTTTAATTTTTTATAGAATTAACGTCGGATACGTTCCCTCGATTTTCAATAAAACCGATATAAAAACTCTCTAAATTTTTTACACCTTCAGAGTTAATGTTAAGTCTGCTTTCACTTTTTGAACACTAGAAAACGAAAGAACATCATTACTCTCCAGCCAACGAAAGAACGCCATTCTTCTCCAGCAAACAGAAGAACACCATTATTCTCTAAGGAAGAAGGAAACTCGAACCAACACTTTTCTTTTAGTCTCTCATCACATTTCTCAAGATTTTGGATACCAGATACCATATCTTGAGTAATCAGTTGATTGAGTTACCGAAAGTTCAAATGTACAAACCTCAAATTCCACAACCAACTATCCTTGTGGTCGACAACAGTTTTTAGACATTGTACTTTTGTCGAACTGATCTTAGTCTTAAACGTCTTGTTCTTCGACAACGGATATTTTAAGATCAAATTTTTATGAGTGTCGAACAATTTCGAAGCTCCATCTTTTATAACAACTAAGAAGCCTTTTTTGACCAGTTGTTAAACACTTAGCAGGTTGCACTTTATTCTAGATACATAGAGTATATCTTTGATCATAACTTTCCCTCCATTATTTATTTGAAAGACTATATTACCAGTACCTTCTACTTGCAAGAACTATTATTAGCAAGTTTTACATTGCTCTTCTTCGACTCGTTTAAATCTGCCAACCACTACTTTGGACCAATTATGTGATTCGAGCAACCTAAGTCGAGGAACTAGGTTTTGGATTCGACATGGTTATCTGCACTTGCATCCATAATCACCATACCACCTTCAGAATCATCTGAATCTTGGCGTGAAAGGTTCACTCCATCATCCTTGTCTTTTGTAGATCCATTGTCTTTCTTGTACCAACAATGTTTAGCCAAGTGACCCCACTTTTCATAGTTATAACACTGCATACCTTTCTTATCTTCTTTATCTTTTCGATAGTTTCCTCCTCCCCTTTTCGAGGATTCAGAAGAAATATCTTCAACCTTATTCTTGTGGGGATTCGACCAAGACTTCTTGCCCCGAGTCTTGTCAAACTTGCCTTTGAATTTCTTGAGTTTCTGTATTGAGACCTGAACTCCTTTCCTTTCGATAATCCTCATCTCATGCGCCTCTAACGAACCAACCAAATCTTTCGCTTTTAGGGTTTCAAGATTGTTGGATTCTTGTATAGCTACAATAACGTGTTCAAAGTGAGAGGTCAACGTTCTCATTACCTTCTCAACTATCATCTTATCAGTTATCGTTTCACCATAACCCTTCATGAGATGGACGAGTTTTTGAACCTTCGACACATATTCTACAACTTTTTGTCTTCTCCCATCGACAATAACTCACATTATCGACACAAGGTTTGTAACTTGACAACCTTGACTTTTTCACCTCCTTCGTAATACTTCATCAAAACATCTCATACCTCATTCTCCGTTTCAGCATGAGAAATCCTATCGAAGTTAGCAGCGTCGACTGCCATTTGAATGTAATAAGCAGCTTTGCAATCTTTCTTCTTGACTTTGTTGTGGGCTTTTTTCTGTTTGTCAGTTGCATCAGCAGTCAGCACAGAAATGGTGTAGATAGCCACTTCTAGGGTTTCATGGAAGCCAAATAAGGATTGTATTTGTTTTTTTCATCAGATCCAATTTTTATCGTCAAGCATTGGAAGAGAATTTAGAATGCCCTTATCACTAGCCATATTCACAGTAGTTAATTCACTTTCCCTGGAAACACGATCTCTGACGTGAAGTTCTTGAAAACCTGATCAAGAACAATAATCAGAAGCTCTGAATACCAATTTGTTAGTGCGTGAGGCACTTTTAGTGAGGACAGAAAGAGAGAGTAATAAAGGAAATAAGGATTTATATTATTCACTTGTTGCAAATAAGGATACACATTATGATTATTTATATAGAACCCTAATTGAGCTTGGGCTTACACAACTTGGATTATATTTAAATATTAAATCTAATCAAATCTAATATAATATTTTAACATTGTTGTTGTTGAGATATTTTTAGTTGTTGTTTCTTGTTATTGTTGATTTATTGAGATTCAATGTTAATTTGTGTTGGCTGTGTACTATTTTTATTTTATTTTCAGAAGCTTTATGTGATTATGGATCACATTTAGATGAAAGTCAATAGATTAAGTAAAGAGTATGAGAATAGACTGATACAATTTCTTGATTTCGCGGAAAAAACCTTCCAAATAATAAGAGGATTTTTTGGTGTCCTTGTAAAATTTTCCGAAATAAGCAAAAAACATTCAGAGAAAGATATATTCAGTCTTTTAGGTTGTGATAAAATTAGTCCAAATTACTCAAAATGGGTATGTCATGGTGAAATGGAAAAAAAGACCTATCTCCTATACAATTGAAGATGAAGAATTTATGAATGATACTCTAGAAGTCCTGATTCGTGATATTGGAGTAGATACTTTCAAGAAAGCTCATGTGCTAGATACTTTGAAAAGATACATGGAATAGTCGTTGTATCCAGGATGTAAAAGCTTTACAAGATTTTCAATTGTGTTAAGAGTATTTAATCTTAAGGCATGAGGTGGGTGGACAGATATAAGTTTTACTAAAATTCTTGAATTGTTGAAAGAAATGCTTCTAAATGGTAACATGTTGTCGAGTTGTCACTACTACAAAAAACACATCTAACTTCAGACACGAAATGCATTTAACATTGACTACGGAAGTGAGGTAACGAAGGGCGTTATGAAAAAAATATCACATTACCTCTCAGTTATTAAAAAGTCGAGGGGTAAATTTATCTGCACATGGGTTCGATCCCAAACATCTGCATTTTTATTATTTTTAGAACTGGATGCGCAACTTTCGGTGTTATTTAGAACTGAGGTAATATCCCACTGTTATTACCGTAATGTTGAGTAAAAACCGAGGAGATACGTTTTTCTTAGTACTGTCGTATGCACACATGTATTACGGAACCATTTTACAGAATAAAGAACCATATTTTGCATATTCCTGAAACAAAAATATGGAACATTTTTCCAATTTCTCAATCTGAAACATTGTGCCACAAATTCCTTGTTTACACCAAATGAAAACCCAAAATGGCACACACTTTACAATTTTACAATAAAACTAAAACAAATGATTAACCAACAAAATCAATAACCAAACTAGAAAGTTGTAAGGTTTCCAATAGAATTTGTCATTGGTCGTTAAGCACTTATAATTTGAACAACATTTGAAACCACTTAGGATAATCAACAACAACTTTAAATATATAATACAAGGAATAAAAAGAGTTAAATGAATAATTATAAATTACTAAGTGATATAAAATATCTACTTTTTAGTTTAACCATATCCCCTCTTCATGATCACGACAAATAGCATGTATATCATTTTAATCATTTTCTTCAAATGATTGACGTACATGTGTTGCTAAACAAGGGGTCTCATAGTTAAAATCTTGATTTTCATCATTACTATCAGGAAGATTTTTTTCTTGAAGAACAATTGACCATCTAGTGTTAGTAGGAACAATGACATTAAAAACTTGTTTTTCTTGGATTGCCAAGATGAATGTTTCATTTGTAAAATCAAGCTTCTCAAATGCACTTTTGTTTTTGATGAAGACAAACCATGATTGACAAAGAAGGCAAAGATTATTGATCAAGCTAAAAGCATCTGTGGATAAAGTCTTTGGTTCAAGCACTTAGCAAAATTTCAAGGTATAATGATAATACTTACTTTGAAC